GGTAGGTCGCTCGGCGAGCGGGAGGGCAACCAGTTCCGCCTCTGTATCGGTGACCATTTGCTCCGCCCAGTTACTCGCGAGCGCGTACTACGGCACATAGTAAAGTGGGGAGTGAGGGGTTAGAGTGGCAGCCTGCGTAGAGGCTAAAAACGGTTTCTATCGTCTGGGCCGGCGACACGGCATGCGGTCAGGGGACGGGGAAAGGTCAGAGGTCACTCACATGTGCAGTACCGCGTCCCGTCCTCTCTGCGTGCTGACCAGCGCACGACCTCGGCCGTTGGCCAATTGGCATTGAACGGTCAAGGCCACCCGTAGCCAGCGGGCGGGGTGAGCCGGCAGCGGGCCGATTCATAGGTAGTCGTCCAAAGTTTCAGCCGAGGCCGGGAGACGACTGCAATGTTATTTCTTGGGAACAGTTCTGACATTTAACCCGCGCCCCGTTACCCGAGCATCGGTCCCATTGGGGGGGGGGGGCATTTTGCCCCCCCCTAAGATCTCGAGATCACGCAAAACAACGACAAGCAGCAAACGGTGTTGGATGGCACCAACGAGGAAATACCTTTTGGCTCAATTTCATTGACCTCGGTCAAACCGATGACGTCACAGTTCCGGTCAAATGTCAAATTTTCACCGTTTACAGGCATTTCAAGAAATGTGTTGTAAAATCGAGTAAGATGCAAGTCATTCATTGATAAGGAATCGATGAATGACAATTTTCGATGGGGAATTGTTCGTCAAACACATATTTTGCTATTTGTGGTCACTGATACCAGGTCAAGTCACAGAGGTCAGGTCACTGAGGGTCACAATATGAAGATAACTATTGTGTGATGCATGTTTTCTGGTCCATTTTACATGACAAATGCGATTATGTGGGTCAGGCAACCCTTGGGGCCAATTTGGGTTATGTTCTGGTGAAGGTCAGGTCAAATTAGGTCAAATTTCTAATTTGATATTTTTGCATAAAATTGGTATCGATTCGATGCAGCTCGTCACGGGGAGTCTAATCATGGTGGTTTGTTTTGCGCTACGTGGTCTAGAATTGTTAAAAATTTAGTTAAAAAATTGACGTCATCAGTTTTGAACAGCTTTTTCGCTATAACTTGGCCAAAAAAGGAGGCATCGATCTACAATTTGTTATGTAGATATTCCGTTTTTTTTTTACTCGAAAAAACTTATTTTTTATAAGAGACCAATTTTTAAATTTGGGGGGTCAAAAGCTCAAAAGTTTGGAAATCCCAGATTGCAGTTTTGTAGCGCCGTCTTTTCTTTACGCGACCAGATAGAGAGCTTTGAAATTTCTTGTTAACTGAAGATTTTGTGAGCGTTTCAAGATTTATTTTGCTAATTTTTTGCTCGAACATGACCTCAGTTTGACCTCAATAACTTTTGACCTAAGTTAACCTAAGACTTGAAGTTTTGTGTGAGTGTCAAATTGATGCCCGGGAAGCTATTGAAAATTTTGCGGGGCTGCGCGCCGCCGTTTTCTTGCTATTCAGGAAAATACACGGGGGGCTATATTGCCCACCCCCCAACGGGGCGAGAGTTAACCGTGACCTGCTGAGACTGGAGGTTGTTTCACAACAAATTTTTGCTTTCTCTCGCACTATATTTCCAAAAACTTGCCGCAAAACTGACCAAGAAATATGTTGCTTGAATGAAATTGCAGTATTATTAAAAAGGAACCTAGGCGTAAAAGTTTAAGTAACATCACTGTATGCTGATTTTTTGTGTTTTTTTTTTTAGAAAAAAAAATCGACGTAAGCCACTAAAAAACAAAGCATAATATTTTTTAATGTTTATATAGGAATATGTCATAACTCGCACCCATATCGGCGTTTTCGCAAGCGATAATATTTGGGCGGGGATGGATCAGGCCCCACAGTTGATCGGCTTTTGATCAAACCAGAGCTTCTTGAAAAGAGGGAGCATGTTGCACATGACGAGAGGAAGCCGATGATACCCAATTTATAGATCATAGGTCATTCGTTGATCATAGGTCATACGTTGACCTTCCAAGTCAGTTTAATGACCCAATAGTCGGAAGGGTATAGACCTGCCTAGAAGTTGTTATCGTGAGCTTTTATGGAGCTTTCGGTATAAGAAAGAGAGAGAGAGAGAGAGAGAGAGAGAGAGAGAGAGAGAGAGAGAGAGAGAGAGAGAGAGAGAGAGAGAGTGAGAGAGAGAGTGAGAGAGAGAGTGAGAGAGAGTGAGAGAGAGTGAGAGAGAGTGAGAGAGAGTGAGAGAGAGTGAGAGAGAGTGAGAGAGAGTGAGAGAGAGTGAGAGAGAGTGAGAGAGAGTGAGAGAGAGTGAGAGAGAGTGAGAGAGAGTGAGAGAGAGTGAGAGAGAGTGAGAGAGAGTGAGAGAGAGTGAGAGAGAGTGAGAGAGAGTGAGAGAGAGTGAGAGAGAGTGAGAGAGAGTGAGAGAGAGTGAGAGAGAGTGAGAGAGAGTGAGAGAGAGTGAGAGAGACAGAGAGACAGAGAGACAGAGAGACAGAGAGACAGAGAGACAGAGAGACAGAGAGACAGAGAGACAGAGAGACAGAGAGAAATTAGCCTTTTTAGAAAATGATCGGTACAGATATCAAGCGACAATGCACGGATTTAAAATGAACGTTAATCCTTCTCACAGCTAGCCTGTTCAACGTGTTTCCATTTCCTTCGCTAGTGACGTCGCCTTTAGGCCATGTGACCGGAAACCGGCAGCTAAACAGCAGATATTCTAGGGACGCGGAAACCTTGAAGATTGGCTGTGCCGCAATGTCATTCCTAGTGGTTTTGAACCTGGCTATAGATTGGCTCCATGCGCTCCGCAGATCGGCAAATTTGTAGTTAAGCAGCCCTGAAGGCACCGGCCAAGTTCCTTTGCTAGTCCCGGCCAAATAAGACACAAGGGACTAAACGTAATTTCACTTGTTGGGACATTTCTAATCTTAAGTCTAGAAACGGACGGTTAATGAGACCTGACACGCCGAATTCTAGTAGAATATAATGTAAATGGACTCTAGAAACTGGTCACAGATTAAAGGTCATTTTGGTCAGGGTCATGCAATTTTCAGGGTAGGTGTAAACTGTCAAGTGCAGATGGTCTGAACTTATCATGATTCCTGACCGCATAGGTATTTATTTACTTATGGTGAGAAAAAATAACTTACGGCACTGAAAGCTTCGCTGATATCCGCCACTACTTACGCGAGTTGTTCAGGAAGAACCAAGGAGAGGGGTTCATTTTATCACCCCTAATAAGAAGTAGGGTTTCCATTAAAAGTAAACGGTAATATCGATAAATAACATCTCCTGTATATTTCTCAAGTTATTATGATGAGTTCTTTCGTAATGTTAATAAATGCTTTTTAGGTAAACAATATTGTAATTTGACCATGGCACGACATTTCCATTCTATTTTATCCCGTTCGTTCTAGCCCCTCTCCCCTGCCCCCCCTCCCACACCACCACCACTATAGTTCGTTTTTTTTTTTCAAAAGGACGCTGGCTCCAAGTATGTTTTTCGAACAAGCACGTGTTTTAGCGAGCAAAACGAGCAAAAACTGAACCTGAGAAAATCGAACGTCGACTAATTTTAACATGTGATTTCTTCCCGATAATTTCCATATGGGCGTTTTGGAAGCAGATATGATAACAGCGGTGACGTCATGCTATCGAAAATGTATTTCAATTTAACTTATGACTATCATGGACGGAACCGCTCACTCGATTATAAGCTCGGCAACAGTGAAAAACTAAGTTTCACTCAAATTCGTTGACACTTGTCCCACTGCACGGGCATTTGGGTGCCTGCTGCCACCAGTGACGTCATCATATTATGTTCATTTTTAAGAAACAATTTCCAGCTACTTACCGTGCAAAATTTGAAATCGATTATTTTTTCGGTAAGAAATTCTTGGCCAGACACTGAAGCTGCCAAAACTCACGTGAGAGCTTCGATATTGAACTTTGAGCCAGCGTCCTTTTGAAAATAAACGAACTATACCACCAAATCGGCTGAGTTGGCTGAGGCGAGGCTGGCTGAGGCGAGCGCCTCCCCTCCCTTCATGGCAAACAGCGCCTGGCTGTCGTGACCTATGGCCTCACCGCCCGAAGGCTCGCCCGCTGTCCAAGGACGCCCTGTGCGGGCCGCAGTGGTAGCCTCTGCCGAGTCCCACCTCTATCCACCGCTCACCACGCGCTGGATTCATTCATGCCTCTGTGTTTCAGCGTCCTACCCGTTGGGTGGCACCACTGTAGTCATAGGCGACTGCAGGGAAGCCGCGGTCAGAATGCCCCAAACAGCGAATTTTGAGGTTTTCTTTTAATTTCTCCGAAACTAGCCGGCATACGATCAAACCTTTTTCCATGATCATGGAAGGGAGCTATACGAATAAATCGGTCACATCTTCAAGCCTACAAAGCTGAAGACGAAAAAGATATAGCCAAAAAGGCAAAACCTACGCTTAAAACCCGCGGGACCTGTACAGCTTTGGTGGTGAACGTGCGTAACAAGTACCCGCTACTAGGCCGTGATTGGTTGTTCCGTGTAAAGCTGGACTGGAATAGAATGTTTCACGGACGTGACGTTCACACAGTGTGCATGTCTGCTTCCCAGTTGCAGGAGAAATATGAAGATGTGTTCTCCGATCAGCTGGGGGAGATCAGAGGCATCGAAGCTGACATCGAGCTGGACGACAATGCCAGACCACGGTTCTTCCGGAGCCGGCCGGTACCGTTTCCACTGAGGGAGAAGGTGAACCAGGAGCTCGACAGGCAGCTGGAGGAAGGTGAGCTCTACCTGGTACAGGAGAGCGAGTGGGCCGCACCCTTGGTAATTGTCAAGAAGCCGGGAGGAAATGTGCGGATCTGTGCCGACTTTAAAGTCACAGTTAACAGATATGTCAAACAGCAGTCGTATCCGCTACCGACTAGACTATCGCGGGCTACAGGACCGATGGTATCACTGATATGTTCAGGAGTACCCGATGTGATGGCTCGGTGAACTGCGCAGATAGTGTGGTACTCGGCTAATTCGTCTGCCCGCAGCCAGCCGAGCTGCTGTATGACGTCAGAGATGTGGTCGCTGCGTCTACGGCCACTGACGACTCTGGCACAGAAATTGAGAATTTTCTGGACACGAGCCATCTGGGTCACACCGCACGACCCATACACGCTTATACAATACCGCACGATCGATATGACTAGGGCTTGAACAACTACCTTACGTGTGTTTGCTGGCATCACGTGGCGGGCATGACTGAGAGCGATTAAAATTCCTGTGCATTTTGATGCCATGGCGGTGATGTGAGCTTGATAGTTCAGATGGCGGTCGAGATAAAGTCCGAGGTTCTTCACCGTCCCTGCATCGACTACAGTTGAACCACAAAAGTTGACAGTGACGGGCGGGAGTCCACGCAACATAGCTGGTGTGCCCAACACCAGCATCTGTGTTTTGGCGGCGTTAACTTTCATGCCATTGTGGCAAAACCATCGGTAGGCGGCGTCGAGTGCGGCCTCAGTGCGTGAAATGATACAATCCAAATCCCGTTTCTTTCCAGTGACCAAAATTTGAGTGTCATCTGCAAACTGTACTATGGTGACTCCGTCGGGCATGTGCAGACTGAGATCGTTAGCAAAAAGCATGTACAAGGCACAACTGAGACTACCTCCCTGGAAAACACCAATGGTGTTTTCTCTCGGTCGGGAGGTGATACTGGAGCCGTCAGCGGCGCGGACTCTGACCTGTTGCACATGCCCAGCCAAATAGTTAGCGAACCAGTCGGTGTCGATACCGTATAGGCTAAGTTTTTGCAGGAGTTTTTGGTGAGACACGACATCAAAACATTTTGAAAGATCCAGTAAGACCAAAATTGAAATTTCACCGTTGTCCATGGACTGAAGAATGCGGTCAGTAATGACGTTGAGGGCCGTCTCTGTGGAGTACAGTCTCCTGTACCCGTGTTGTTCGGCTGCCAGCAGAGAATGCTCGGATAGGTAGTCGATCAGCTGGGTTTGAACTATGCGCTCAACTATTTTCATTATGCCTGGTAAAATGGAAATAGGGCGCGTGTCTGCTGGCGTGTTCCCTGCTTTGCCTTTCGGTATTGGTGTCACTATCGCGTGCTTCCATCCAGGTGGAATGAGATAGTCGGTAGATATACAACACCCGAAACGCAGGGCTGATAACACAGCCACGGGCCCGAACAGAGACGGGGAGACGTCGACTATGTATTAGAGGAGTCGCGATGTTAAACGGTACCGAGTTGAGCCCGTATATACCAGCGTTTCGCGCCAATGTGAAGCGTGTGATCATGTCGAGACGCCGAGTAGCTGTCTGAACCTGTTCCAGTCGCACGCTTGTTTGTGTTTGCCAGTGATATCTATGCCTACTCGTACTGTCTATATGTTCCCCGTTTTATCTGGTTTTACGTGTCTGGTGAAAAGCCACTTTTATTGTGGATCCTAGATGAATACACATCTGTATCTGTATCTGTATCTGACTACGGAGGAGATGTTTAGCTGCCTCTCGGGGGGAGAGTCGTACACAAAACTGGACTTAGCAAACGCATATAAACAGCTACGCGTCTCGGAAAAAAAATCAGGAACTGCTTACGGTCAATACGCCACGAGGGCTGATGCGTCACCGGAGGCTGCCATTTGGCCTGAATATTGCTCCCAATATTTGGCAAAGAACGATGGATAGCATTTTGCAAGGTCTGAAGAGTGTCGCGTGCTATCTTGATGATATTTTGGTGACCGGATCCTCTCGCCAGGAGCACGTGGACAACCTCGAACAACTGCTCAGTCGCCTTCAGCAGTACGGTGTGCGGCTGCGCCGCGAGAAGTGCCGCTTCTTCCAGAGGTCTGTGGAGTTTTTGGGATACACTCACCACCGAGGGAGTGCGACCCGACCCCCACCAAACACGATTTGGCAGCACTGTAAAGACGTCTGCTGGGCGTGAAGTTTTCCCTTCACCATAGGGTTTACACACAAACTGGTCAAAGTTTGAGCCAGGATATACTAGTCTAAAAATGCAAAAAACGAACAAATTTTGGCATCAATAGATTCAGCATTTCATCGTGTGCCTCAAACCGTCCATCATTTGGCCTCAAAGGAGGTAAAAATTGTTCAAAATCGAAGTTGAAAAGATGCTTTCTGAGCACATAATCTGGTAGCAATCACGTGACCTGCTATAAGCAGCTTATCGATAATTTATTAACATAATTATTAATATGCTGCTTTAAACAACATTAATCATACATTTTGAGCTTTCAGTACTTTAAATAAGGTCAAAACATCGCAAAACACAAAAGTTAATAAAATAGTCACGTGGGTGTCAGGAAATGTCACAGGTGCGTCAAATTTGTGACTGGGGCTTTACTTTCAAACATCGGATCTACCTGTTTCTTATAGGTATCTTGGTGCGACCGAGCGAAAAGAAGGTGAGAGACATGCTGGCTATGCCGGCACCAAAGAACGCCAAGGAGCTGCTGACATTCCTGGTTATGGTCACATACAACGCAAAGTTCCTTCCTCATCTGTCCACCGTCCTCAGACCGCTGTACGATCTCGGCCCCCGCCGAAGTTAGTTGGTAGCACTGCTGCTCCACGGCGTACATTTCCTACCAGCCCATAGGGTTTACATGTTAAATGGCCTGTTTTCGGCGAGCGATATCTCGGTCACCCTTTGAAGGAATCTATGGTTCTTGGTCTCAAATGATAGATCGATGAATTTTCTTTCGACAATTCCTCTACCATTTTTCACGAAACCCAGCCGATCTTCTACGGCGTACAGGGTAAAGATTTCTCTGCACGCCAGCACCCGCGATCCGCCTCTCCGATTATCGACGCGCGGTCTGCGGTAGCGCAGTCGGTAGCGTATCGGGCTACGGATCCGAGGGTCGTGAGTTCGAATCCTGGGAGCGCCGCGTGATTTTGGCTAGAATTGAATGATGTAGATTCTTGAATGTTTGCATAATCAATTATTAATAGCTAATTGAATGTATCTGCCCACTAATCGGCCCCTAAAACCTGTTATTTAAGGAATTTCAGAAATGAATGTCACGTGCGCGTCACGACTGCCAACCATAAGCGCTACCATATTCTAGTTTGAACTAACTTTTTGCTAGTCCCGACCACATATAGTAGGTTTTCTAGTAGTTATACTAGAAATTCCTACCAAAGTTCGTCCTACCCTTCACTCAATATACCCTGGTACGATCTCACCAAGGGAGATACCGTGTGGAACTGGTCCCCAAAATGCCAGGAGGCATTCTCTGAGGTAAAGTCCATGCTCGCAGACGCTGGCTGCTTGACTCACTACGATCTAGGTAAGCGAGTCAAGGTGTATTGTGATGCCTCGGCGTACGGCCTGGGAGCGTGTATGGTGCACGTGGACGGGTCGGGGGAGCGTCCGATCGCGTTTGCGTCTCGTACACTGACAGAGGCCGAGAGAAAGTATGCGCAAATAGAGAGGGAGGCACTGGCCATAATCTTTGCCGTCAAGCGGTGGCATCAGTACTTGTGTGGCCGCTCCTTCACGCTAGTCACCGACCACAAGCCGCTGTGTCACATTTTCGGACCACACACACAAGTTCCGTCTGTGGCTGCAGCACGTCTTCAGCGGTGGGCACTCATTCTTGAGCATGTACCAGTACGATATAGAATATCTGCCGGGCAGTCGGAACGTAGCGCCCTCAGCCGACTGCCGGGGCCAGATACATGTGATCGAGCCGTGCATGTGTTGGAGGACGTTGAGGAGGGCTGTTGTGCCGTTGATGACGTCTTGCCTGTCACTGCAGCCCAGGTGGCGTCTGCCACCGCCAAGGATCCGGTGCTCAGCGTGGTGCTCGGCTGGGCTCGAACCGGCGCCTGGCCCGGGCACGCGAACGACAGCCGGTTGAAGCCGTACCTGCAGCGGAGAGAGCAGCTCACCGTAATCGACGGCTGCGTACAGCTCGGTGAGAAGGTAGTCATACCTGACAGATATAGAGCTCAGCTACTGAAGGAGCTTCATGAAGGCCATGTTGGCATTCATAAGATGAAGTCACTGGCTAGGGTGTTCCTCTGGTGGCCAGGGCTAGATGCAGATATTGAAAAAGTATGCCGTTCGTGTCCGTCCTGTGTCGAGAACGCGAACATGCCCAAACCAGAGAATGTACACCCGTGGAAATACCCAGTTCAGCCTTGGGACAGAGTCCACATTGATTTTGCCACTTTTGAAGGAAAAACCTACCTTTTGCTCGTTGATGCTTACTCAAAATGGCCAGAAGTGCGATACATGTCTAGCACAACGGCTACTAAGACCATCGAAGTGTTGACGGACATTTTTGCAACGCATGGTTTTCCGGTGACGTTGGTGTCAGATAATGGCCCGCCGTTTACCTCTGGAGAGTTTCAGAGCTACCTGGCAGCGCGAGATATTCATCACCGTCTGACACCGCCGTACCACCCAGCGTCAAACGGGCAGGCGGAGTCTCTGGTACGTACAGTCCACAGCAGAAGTAATATGGGGTTTCAGTCATTGGTATGTTCTGCTTCTGAAGCTTAGGAACGATTAGCCAGACTACAATGAAACTTTGAATGAAGCTTATATGTATCGTCACCCTTGCAGCTGCAATTTTAGCTATTGACATCTTCTTTTCGATCACTCCGCATTAAACAATCGCCAGTCAAAGCCAACCGTTGAGATTGGTAAAACCCTACATTACTTTAGCGGTGGGCTGTACCTTCAAAGCTTTCCTCAAGAGGTATGCAGGACCCAGAACCACAGCAGTAGCACAATTTCTGGCAAAATACAGAACGACTCCATGCGTCACAACAGCCCGGGCACCCGCCGAATTGCTTTTTGGGAGACTGCCTCGGACAAAGCTCTCGCTCCTCAAGCCCAGTGTTGCAGCGCGGATGCGACATGAGCCTGTCGACACTGTCTCACGATCATTTCTTGCAGGTCAACCTGTCTTGGTTCGAGATCTGCGGCCAGCAGCGACCGAGAAATGGCAGCGCGCTGTCGTCGTCGCCATTGGAGGCCCACTGACGTACAGCGTGCGGCTGCCGGACAGTCGCATACGTCTCGCCCACGTGGATCATCTGCTGGCCGACGGCTCTGCTTCTGTGACGGCTGAGCGTGGGCCCCTCGATGCGCGGGTGACGGTGCCGCCTCCGACGGAGCCGGGAAAGCTTCGCGGTCCAGCAGTGCCATGTGTGATGGACGCTAGGGGGCGTTTTCCGTATATCAGTGATTATAATAAGCGAGCAACATGCGAGGGCAATCGTGGCGCGCGTGCATCAGAGCCGGTAGAAGCGGCGCCGGCCTTGCGGCGCTCTGCTCGGCTGGCTAAAAAAAAACTTGTTAAAGGGCGAGGAGTGCTGTGAGCGCCGTCTATTTGCTGCATGTGCTGGTCGTGTGACCGCTCGTGTGACCGCTCGTGTGACCGCCCGATTCGTGCGGCTGGGCCGCCGCTCGGCGCAGCTGACCGACCGACTGCCTGGGGGCGGGGTCGAAGGTCGGGGAGCTGCGCGGTCGAGACGAACCGCCGCTGACCGACTGATGGTCACTCTCTGACCGGCCGTGATCCAATACAGTCCGTCTGATGAAGAAGTGCTTGTGAGTGAGACGGCGGCAACATAACAAAAACCAACCAGTACACAATACAGAACACGTGCCTATGAATGCGAATAAAAATGTGATATCATGTCGATTTCTCCTACATGTTAACTCTCGCCGGCACAGGCCATTTTGACTCTGGTTGGCAGAGTTTTTCACGTTTGCCCCAAGGTCACTCAATCATCAAAGCAATATTTCAGTTTTTCAGCATAGGAACTTTGAGAATGTTTATTTTTTAGTTTTCTTGACTTATGTCCGGGGGGGCCAAAAGATAGTATCCCCCCCCTTTGACCGTCTTGGGGGGAGGGGCATGGCCCCGTTGCCCCCCCCCCCCTGGATCCGCCCTTGTTTGAACATTTGAGAAGTGCCTAAATTTGGTGCCAATGCAACATGTTACGAACTATGAAGCTGTCACTGGCGATTAACACCTTCTTTGGCTAGCTGGCGTACCACTTACCGGTTGACCTGACCAGACCTGACTCGACCTATGCCAAATGTTAAAAATGCCAAAAAAGGACTCAGGTTCAGCGCAAAATTTTGTGCTAGGTAGCATTGACGCTGGAGGTTTGTATCTTATATTTGTTTAACCCGCGCCCCGCTGGGGGGGGGGGCAGAATCTGCCCCCCCCCCCCTCCCGTTTTTCGCCAATAACTTCTAAACGCGTTACGCCAGCGACGTCAAACTTTCAGTACCTTATCATACATCAATTTGACACGTTCCCTGAAAATTTGAGCGAAATCCTTTGGAAAATTTTTTGAGAAATTGACGTTTTAGTGACGTCATGTTCGCCATTTTCGCCTAAAAAACGGCAAAATTTCAAACGCCGCTAACTTCTTCATTTTTAAAGGAATCAAGACGTAACAAAAAAGGTTATACGTGATTCTACTTTGTCTATCAAATGGCCATCTCGGTTTTTTGAAAATTTTGGATTTTGGCCAAAATTTTTCCAAAAAACTGACTTTTTTGGGAAAATATTTATAAATCCAAAATTTTGAGTTTATCGAAAAAACCGGAATATATGTCAAAGAAGTGGTCTATGTGCACCTACATACCAATTTTTAGAAGAATCGGTTCAAAAATGTGGGAGTTTTTCAAAATTTTATGACGTCACGACACACAAAAATTTTGAAAAATGATTTTTTTTGGAAGTTCTAGACCTCGCACGGAAATAAAAATAGCACCATTCGATTCGCCGTGAAAAACTGCATCGGATAGACACCTTTTTAGGCCTTAACAACCAACTTTAAATTTGACCTCACTTGACCTGACCTTGACCTGACCTCGACCTGAAATTCATCCAGAGGTGGTCCATATCACTTATTGAGTGTGCCTATTGAATTCCATGAGTAAAATGACCCATAAAACATGTGTCGCACATGCCCTTTTCTATATTTTGTTTTTGGTGACCTGACCTGACCTTGACCTTGACCTTTGAATGACATTGTGTGCAACGAATATTGTCTGGGTAGTCTAAGAACACGTTTTGGGCAATCAGTCTCAGCCCATTCTTCGGCAACTACGGTGCAAGGCCGATACTGTAGAAACTTGCATTTTGTACCCTTGACCTGACCTTGACCTGACCTCTGACCTACTTAAGCAAAAAAATTTGGGCTCTTAAGATCCGCCTTGTTGAGAGCTTTCGATTGCCGTTTTCCCCGTCTTTCTACGACCATCGGTTCGGAAGTTAGACAGGGGGGCAGAATCTGCCCCCCCCCAGCAGGGCGCGTATGGCTGAATAGCCCAGCGGGGCGCGGGTTAATCGTCTAGTAGGGCAATGTGAGGGGGCAACAAAGTAATATAAAAACATTGGTCACGCACTGCGGATCCAGAAAGGCGACGCTGCGGGAAGTGCATACACTCAAAGAAAAGAAGTCTCTCCAAATTCCAAAAACTGATCGAATTTGTACCTATTCCTTACGCGTTGCTGTGCATTTTTAAGCAAACTTTTCGTAATAAAAGTTAAGGCTTCGTCTTATTCCTGAAACGAAAATGGTCTTTTCACGTCAGTTCCGTGCAAAATACATTAACGCTTGGCGTTAGAGGTGCAACCGGCCCCCCGTTTCCTGGAGATGCCCGGCATATGAGGGAGCCGGCCACAGAGGGTGCGGGCGCCAATAGGAGGCTAGATAAGCGCAGCGGTCGGGTAAGCAAATACGGCCCGCCCGGCCTGGCGAGGACACTGCGCCGGCCGCCGGGCGCCTCCAGTGCGTGAGTGGCACGTCAGACGGCGGCCGCTCATGTTTTTCGTGCGTGCGCGCTCAAGCCGCTGCGATCATCTCCCGGAGATTGGACGCTCCACACGCGAAAGGGCATCCGGTAAGTCACGCCTTTGCTTGCTGGCGTCTCCCCATTGTGTCCAGGCTGTCACGAGCGACCCCACTACCAGCAATCTTAGGCCCGCGGGCGCTCCGTGCCGGCGTACCTACCGCCCCCTCGTATTGTTGTGTTGAACATTTCAGAGTGGTCCACGCTCCACTTGTGTGTCGATTACTGCCGTGGCGATCACGTAGCGATTACTGCTCCTTTGCTATGTCATGAGAGTTTCTCGGACGGCCAGTCCGCCCTGCCCTACTATAACGCCCATCTCACCCGTCGCCGGTGAGATTTCCCGTCTGCTATTAGGCCGTCACGCCGCCGCTAGCTTGGCTTCTATCGTCAGTCGCCTGGACTGTGCCGTCTTATACGCTGTCACGCCGCCGCTGACAATCAACTATCTCGCCCGTTGCACGGCCTGTCCCGTCTGTCATACGTGGTCAAGCCGCTGCTGACTACCTCTTCTGTCACACGGACTGTTCGTCTGTCATTTACACCGTCACGCCGCCGCCGGACCTCGGTCTTGCCGCCGCCGCCCCTGCCTCGCCCGTCACCCAACATGTCACGCCGCCGCTGACACACCCAACCGTCACGCCCGCTACGTTCGTCGTCACCGCTGTCATGCCGCCGCCGACAGCCCACCGTCACACCTGACGCTTCCGCTGGCTGTCCTGCCGTTTGCCACGACCCGCCCGCCGCCTGGCCGCCCCGCCGGCCGCCGCCCGGCAACCCCTCCCCCCCCCCCCCCGCAGGCCGCCGCCCGGCCGACCGCCGCACTATGGTTGGAAACGGCCTCACGGATGGCCGGGGGTCAACGCAAAAAAAATGTTTTGCCCATAACTTGTTAATGCGTAGACCGACTGCGATGAAACTTTGCATAGGTATGCCGGTGTCTTTCGTGCATCATACAGTAACTCAGAAATGACGAGGTCACGTCACGTCACGCATGTGTGACGTCATCATTTCAAGTATGTTATAAGTCGCCTATGTCTTTCGCAATGCTATCGATATCGCGAGGCATTTTGAACATGTTTTGAATACTGCTATTACTGAATGGATATTGTTGGTATGCTTTAGGGCAGGGGTCGGCAAATGGTGGGGCATGCCCCCTTTGGGGGTAATGACGCCCTTCGGCGGGGGGTAATGAGGGCCGCTGAGAAAACCTCATCTTTTTTAGAATTAATGGCTCCCTTGATGGGACAAACATCGCAACTGTTGTGCCCCAGGATTCAAAGATTAGTCGAGGTCAAACGCACAAAGCATGAACTGATTAGCTGGCGCATGTCAATTTTCATGTAGCTGCTCACCATTCCGTACAGTCGTTGAAAGTAACTGTCATGTACTAACCGGCGCTCTTCTATTGGCGTTTTCACAGTCTCTAACGCAAGGGAGAGGAGTCGTCCATTGCACCCTGACCTGGGCATCTCGGTCTCTGAGCTGGAGCTTTGCAGAAAAATTGAGCGTATTGCCTGTGAAGATAAGCAGCCGCTGCTACCCAAATTAAAGGTCGTTGGTCATTGGGTGACCTTCCATAGGTCAATAACAACTGCCGGGTTAATCGGGTCCTGCTGTAACTTCTTGAAGTGAGATTTTTGGCCTGCCATGATCTCAAGAAAGATCTCACAAATCAACGGTTATTCGGGTTAAGGTCATGCCATTTTCAGGACAGATAAAAATGATCGGCTCGATGGTACAGTTTTTTTTTGTAATCCGACCCTTTTAACGTGATCTATTCCCGAAAAATACCCGCTACCTCTATACGTATGGGGGTTAACCCGCGCCCCGCTGGGGCTCCTGGATTTCTACGCCCTGCTGGAGGTGGAGGTTGAACACCCCCTACTAACTTGGCTCCTGGGTCACTAGCGAAATGCCGTAGTCGGCGATCGAAAGAGCGTAAGAAATGATGAAGAAAAAATATGGTCACTTTTTAGGTCAAATCAAAGGTCAGGTCAACAGAGGTCATCGAACGTAAAATTTTGCTAATTTCCAGGTCAACCTTTGACAGTTTTCGACAAACTGGCCTATAGCTCAGGAAAGGATAGAGCTACAGCGCTGCGGAAAAACGCATTCGATAGCTCTCTTTAACGTTTTTTCTGATGCCTGCCCTCAGATTCAACCGAAGATTAACGGTTTAGCCTGCAGGAGACAAAAACTGCCAAAATGTACGTTGCTTGCTGATAGTTTTTCTTAGATAACTTGTCACTCAAAACTTGCGCAAGAGCTCACTTTTATCAGCATCGTGATCCTCCCGTCGAGAAGCATCGAAGGTTTTGTTGCACATCAGTCGATCCGTATCGTCGAGCTGAACACATCTAAGGCATTTTCATCGCTCTGGCATGCCTTATACCATTCATGACCTGAAATGACCTCAGGGACATACAGCGGGGTTACGGGTGCAATTTTCCGGTTCAGCGGTCATGTTTGCTTGTAAATAAGAGTGTCACAGTGTTAGGAATGACACTGGTCCAAAAGAGGCGCCTTTCAATTTTCTACCATTTACTTTGCGTCCTCTCCCATTGATAATGGGAGAGGGCGTGTAATTGACCTTAACTTTGGTCACCGACATCAAATCTCCGAGATACAAATTTTGTACATGCTGTTGCCTTTATCAATTCCTGAAAGTTTGAAAGAGATCTGTCACTCAATGCAGCTAAAGCAGGCGTTACAGTCTTTACTGA